AAGTCGGTGGGCAAGATGAAATGAAAAAGAAAGGAAAAGAGGGGGACAAAAGTTGACGGATGGTGGATCATGGAGTGGTGGATCACAGTGTGTGAAAAAAAAAAAAAATAAAATAAAATAAAATAAAAGAAGGTTGGATGGACAGAGAGAGATGAATAAAATATGAGAGAATAATGATAAATATAATTAAAGTGGGTCTGCTGTAGAGAAAGGGACCAGAGAGAGAGAGAAAGAGAGTGAGTGGGTGCCCCATGTGCTGGGTTTGGTGTGTACCGCGTGTGTGCTTGTGGATGCATGTGCATAGCAGTGTGTTTATTATTATTATTATTATTATTATTTTTTGTTTTTATTTTATTTTATTTTGTTTTGGTTCAAAACTGCCGAGAGAGAGAGATCTGTTAGAGAGAGAGAGAGAGAGGGCTTGATGGAGCTACTGTTGCAGTGACCGATTCAGTTGTGATGTCGAAGAGGCTGGATCGACGGCGACGCCGATGGAGGTTGCTTCGCCGGAGGAAGTAGTTCTGAGACGGACGAGCGACTGGGGGTGAACGGCCTCGTCGGCGGAGGCTGGATCGACGTCACCGCAGGCAACGTCGGCGACGTTGGAGTCGTCCTGACACTGAGGTTGTTCGTATTGCGACAGAATGGTCATACTGAAGAACAATAATGTTTTTAAGTTTAATTGTGAGTCGTGTCAACTTGGCAAACAACACCGAGCTTCTTTTGCTCCAAGTATTAATAAAAGTTTTGTTCATTTTCCATTGATTCATTCTGATGTTTGGAATCATTCTCGTGTTTTTTCATTAAAAGGCCATAGATGGTTTGTCACTTTCATTGCTGATTTTTCTAGCACTACTTAGGTGTATTTACTAAAAAAAAAAAGAGTGAGTTTTTCTCTATATTTCAAACTTTTCATCAGATGATTCGCATTCAATTTGGGGTTGTCAAAATTTAGCATTCTGATAATGGGATCCAGTATATTGATTTAGGGTTAGGGCAATATTTTAGCACTCATGGCATTATTCATCGGACATCTTGCACCAACACCCCTTAACAAAATGGATTTGCAGAACGCAAAAATCGTCATCTTCTTGATATAGTTTACTGCATAACTTTTCCTATACATATCGGTCCTACTAGGGTGAAACTGCTCTCACCACTGCCTACCTTATCAATCGCCTTCCCACTCAAGTGCTGCACAAGCAAACCCCTCTTCAGGTATTCATATGCTCTCAGTCCGTGTCTTCTCTTCCTCTCAAAGTTTTTGGGTGTGTCTGCTTTGTTCACAATCATTCTCCTTCTAGTGGTAAACTGGATCCCCGTTTTATTAAGTGTTTCTTTCTTGGGCACTCCCCTACTTAAAAGGGTTATAAGTGTTACTATCCTCCTTCTCATAAGTGGTTTTTGCCCATGAATGTTACAGTCTTCGAGTTACAGTCCTACTTCTTGTCCTCTCTATAAGTGTTACTATCCTCCTTCTCATAAGTGGTTTTTGTCCATGAATGTTACAGTCTTCGAGTTACAGTCCTACTTCTTGTCCTCTCTGGTTTCTCAGTCATTCTTTCAAGGGGAGCCTTGGTGTGAAGAGATTCATGAATCTTTACCAGTTGTTGAGGAGATGGCATGTGAACCACTATGCGAACCAGTTATTTGGCATGCAAAAGCTAATACACTCAAGAAGCAAGAACAAGTTTATATCAAGGACAAAGAAAGACAAAAGGTTACTTGGATCCAAGAGACCATTTCTCCTGATCTTTCACTGCTGTCTCCTTCAATTGATGAGAGTTCAGGTAACTCTGACAACCCAGAATACACAGATCTTGATATTCCTATTGTCCACCGGAAGGGTGTGAGTTCTTATACTCAACATCCTATCTCTAATTTTGTATCCTATTCTAATTGTCTCTCTCATATAGAGCCTTTGTGTCAAAAATTTCCTTTGTTAGTATACTTGATCATTTTCAGGATGCTCTTGCCACCCCTGAGTGGAAACATGTTATGATTGAAGAAATGAAAGCACTTCATAAGAATGACACTTGGGAATTGACTGAGTTACCTAAGGACAAACGAACTGTGGGATGCAAGTGAGTGTATATTGTGAAGCACAAGGCAGATGGTTGGATTGCACGCTATAAAGCTTGGCTTTTGGCAAAGAGCTTTACCCAGACTTATGGAGTAGACTATCAAGAGACATTTGTACCAGTTGCTAAGATAAATTCAGTCTGGGTACTCCTCTCTCTTGCAGCTAATCTGGATTGGCCACTTCACCAGTTTGATGTGAAGAATGCTTTCTTACATGGTGATCTAGAAGAAGAGGTGTATATGGACATTCCTCCTGGCTTTGAAGATCTTAAAACAAAGGGTAAGGTGTGCGGGCTTTGGAAATCAATATATGGTCTCAAACAGTCCCAAGGGCTTGGTTTGAGAGATTTACTTAGGCAATGCTTAAACATGGATTCAAACAAAGTCAAGCTGATCATGCTCTATTTATTAAACATTACTTACATGGTAAGACTACAACTGTCATTATATATGTGGATGACATAGTACTTACAAGAGATGGTGTTGAAGGAATTTCTCAGTTGAAGGAATATTTGGCAAGCGAGTTGAAAATCAAAGACTCGAAGAAATTGAAGTATTTTCTAGATATTGAGGTTGCTCGGTCCAAGCATAGAATCTTTATCTGTCCAAGGAAATATGTGCTTGATCTATTAAAAGAAACTGGGATGCTTGGAAGTAAAACCTGTGACACACTGCTAGAGACAAACTAGAAACTTAGTGATGATAATAGAGGAGTTCATGTTGACAAGGGGAGTCATTAGAGACTAGTGGGTAAGCTCATTTACCTATGCCATTCGCGTCCTGACATTGCTGTTGTGGTTAGTGTGGTCAGTCAATTCATGCATGCTCCCCATGAGGCATACTTGGCTGCAATTATGCGGATTTTTAAGTACTTAAAATCTTTGCTTGGAAATGGCCTCTATTCTCCAAACATGATCATCTTAGTGTGGAAGCTTTTACAGATACTGATTGGGTAGGATCGGTAACTGATAGAAGGTCCACATCGGGACATTGTACCTTTGTTGGGAGAAATTTGGTTACTTGGAGAAGTAAGAAGCGGAATGTGGTAGCTAGATGTAGTGCAGAGGTGGAGTTTAAAGCCATGGCACAAGGTGTGTGCGAACTTTTTTGTGGATCAAGTTACTGTTGAGTGATCTGGGAATTGAGCAAATAGACTCCATGTGGCTATACTGTGACAATAAGGCTGCTATCAACATAGCTCACAATCCAGTTCAACATGATCTGAAATTGATCATCACTTCATCAAAGAGAAACTCACTAGTGGCACTAATGTACTCCTTTTGTGAAGTCTGGAGAATAGCTAGCAAATATTCTCACCAAGGGAGTTGCAAGTAAACCATTCCATAATGTTCTTAGCAAACTAGCCATGAGAAATATTTTTGCACCAGCTTGAGGGGGAGTATTAGAATAATATCTTTGTTATTATTTATTATTCTACTTAACTGTCATTAGTTGTAGTTTCCTTTTGTGCCTTGAGGCTTCTATTGTACATTTCATATTATTAATATATAAGGGAGTGATGGTTTCATCATTCCCTAAGTTTGATTCCTCCAAAAATAAACAACATCATGACACTATTATCTTTTGTGAACCAGTGGAAGAACATTTAAGAGACTTGAGGTGTGTTCTTATTTGCTTTGAGGTTGCTTCAGGGTTCAAGGTGAATGTGAGAAAGAGCAAGCTAATTCCAATTGGAGAAGTGCAGAATTTGGAGAATTTGGCTTCTATCATAGATTTAGAGTGCGCGATTTGCCAATTAGATAACTTGGTTTCCCTCTTGCTTCTTACTTCAAAGCTACAACATTATGGAACAATTGCTAACGAAGGCTTATTTCTGGAAGCTAATTCCGATTCCTGGTAATGATCTTTTGTATTAAAGAAGTCTTATTTCAATTACTTGGATAATGAAATAAACTGTTTCAATAAGCTTCAAAATGCACTGCGAAATAAATCCATTGCCATGAACTATTTCATTGAGTGTTTATTATAAGTGGGGGGAGGGGGGAGGTATACATATATACATATACACGATGTTTACTCACTCAACCAAGAGATGCATATTGACTCATTGTGCAATTTTTTCTCGGTCAACCCTACTGGGTAATTTTCTCTCTATTACATTGCCTCCCGGGAAAATCAACCTTAGGAAGGTGGCAGCTGGGAGTGGGGGGATGGCAGGGAGGAAGTAGGAGGCAGCTGAGAGGTGGGAAGGGGGTGGTGACAGAGGTAGGAAAGGTGGTGGCTGGTGGGAGGCTTGGGTGGTTTAGGGTTAGGGTTTTCTTAGGTAAAAGATGAAGACAGGATCTATCTTGTCTTGTCTTTTTACATTAAAGCATTTCTTTGAATGATTTTTTTTTTTTCCTTCCCCACTCTCAAAATAGGAGAGTGGACCACACATTGAGTTCGTTTAGATGAAAAATGTAACAACAGTACTTTAGTTCAAAACAACATTTGGGGCATTTGACTATTTTTAAAAGATAGGAGGGTAAAGTGGGTAGTGTCCATACCACAAAGGGGTAAAATGAAGTTACCATACAAAATTATAAACTACTTCTTTGAATATATAGGTGCGGGTAAGATCACAATTTTCCAGCTTGCAAAATCATTTCACCATTCCAATTTAGATTTTCACCAACATCAATATTCAGTCCTACTTTAAAATCAGGACCATCTTCTAAGACACATAGCTCTACAAACGTTTTTCTCCTACACAACAGTAAGCTCAAGAGTGGACTTTGCTAGAACTGTGTTAAATTCTTATAAAGGGTATAAAACAACTAGTTATCACACAAAAAATAGTGAATTACTACTTCGGACAATAAAAACCAAACACATGCCTGGGACATGCATGCTATCTCATGATTAGATACAAATCAAGAGAGAGGAGATTGGAAAAAAAGACATTATTATACACATACCTGGAGATTAACAATGAGGATGAATGGAAGTTTTTTCCCAGCTTGTGACTGGAATTGAAGACAAATTGTTAGATACAGGGGAAAACCATAAAAAATTACCAAAGTAAGCCCATATGGCCTCAAATGAAGTAAATGATTTTAAAATCTGATTGAAGCATCTCTCATGATGCTAGGGAGTTTGCCTTTGTGGTTTTTTTTTTTTTTTTTCCCTTTCTTCTTCTTCTGATAATCGGCTATCTGGGTAAACACTGAGAAATTTGCACTTGTTAAAAGCTTCCTTCAGTATATTATTTCTTAAAATTAGGATAAAATGCAAAAGAGTACAACAAAGTGAGACTTGAGAGAGCATGAAGCTAAGGAGGCTTGGATTATATTACTTTCAGATAGAACAAAGTTTTTCACAACATGTTAACAACAACAGAGAAATATCAGATATGGATTCAACATACACTACCTTAGACCTAGCGACCAAAGTTCACAAACATTAAGCTCTCTCAAATGGTCTATGGAGAGAAGAGGTGGGGAATATTCTTTAAGTATGGCAATTACAGTGGACAACTGCAACACCTTCTGTTCCTTCCCTTCACCAACTCTCATATATGGGAGTGGTGATGAATAGGTTGAACAGGGTTCAGTTTTGTTTGGGTCTCACCATAGACCCCAGAGAACTAAACCAATAGAGCTTGGTTCTTGCAGTTACAACCCTGAACTGCAATAGTTACTCCATTGAACCAAACTAAATGGAGACTAGCTTGGCTCAGGTTGGTTCTGGTTATCTCAATAAAAACGACAGCAATTTCCAGATTATAAAAATAAATAAATTAATTAAAAAAAAATAATAAGAAGCAAAACAAAAACCTCATATTGTATTTGAATAAGCTATGCGAACATTTGGCTAAACTTGAAAATATTTAAATTAAGAAACTTCAGAAAAAGAGTCCAACAAGCCAACCCATTTTGCTGGGCTTGGCAGCAGAATTATAAAAGAAAAGGAAGACCTGTGCCTATATAAGAAGCAAAGACGTGTTTGGAGGGGGGATGGGGTGCCTTTTATTTTCCAGGCAACGTGAGATGGCTATCAACATAGATAACTACGTTCGGTTCTTGGGTTCTGGGCGTGCAAACAATAATAAGTTGCAGACAAGAAGACAGCAATGCAAAAGTCAATTAGAGAAGCTATATTGAAGCTACAGGCACAAGATTTGGGACAACTTAGTTTTTTGCTACACCTGTATTGAAAAGGATAATTTGTCCTCAAGTCACAGGGGTTGTTCAATTCAATCATTGATTTAGTACAAGAAATTCAACAATAGAAGAAAGAATATGTGTAAGCCCCATCTTTACCATTCAAAGGCTCAAGAGAACATAGAGGAAAAATAAAGAAACAACAAATTCTTCTCAGCATCACAACAAAATCTTCTCCTTTGCTACAGTCACAAACCTATTTCTTTTTACAAGCTCCAGTTCTCATAATAATACCAACAACAACAACAAATATAATAACAACAACAACAAATATAATAATAACAACAACAACAATTATAATAACAAGAAGAAGAAGAAGAAAAATAATAATAGCAATAACAATAGAAAGATAACTACTGTGTTAAAAAAACACATCATTCCAATAGATAAATTATACTATGAAAATTAAACATTAAAACATCAAACAAAGGAAGGGTTGTGCAGGGAATTGAGCAACGTCCTAGTAATATGGATTCAAGCATTTGCATGAAATGGCATACTGAAATTGCTCCAGAATTTCACTTATCATACAAAACAAAAAGACATTGGAAAAATGTATCCCTTACCTGAACAAGAGAACTGGGATGCAATGCAACTTGACTGATACAATTTTCGACTTTAAACCAGTCAACTGCTATCAGCTCCAGAAGCGGGTCCCCTCCCTTTACCTGAAAGAGGTTATATAACTTAAGACATTCATAAAAGGCTCAATTCAGTATCAATTTCAGTAAATGTAGTCCATACCAGGTTTAAAATATATATATATATATATATATTCTTCAAAGGAAGACAAAAAACTTCCAACAGTGAAATTTGAAACAATCCAAAGAATTTTTTTTATGAGGTGCAACATATTACGCAACAACCTTGGAACATCATTTGCGATCTCCAGTATTTTCATATGGTTTGATGTAGCAGTCAAGCAAGTAAGAGATAGATCATAGAGCTGTCTTGGGCTCCATTAATTATGAGAAATTATATTCTGAGAAATTATTGTAGACTTGCTAAATCTCAAATGTGACTATAGATTTTGAACTGCAGACTGCTCTCTAGATTGCCTTCATGCTGATCCAATTATTCTGAAGTACGAGGGGAAAAAAACCCACCTTAGAATTATCTTTCAAATATGTCTTCCCACGGATTAAAAATTCCGCACCGCTCAGAGATGTCCAACAGTTAGTATCACTCTCATCCTTCCCTTGGTGCATGGAACAATGAAAGTGGCTTGGATCAAGAATGATCGAAGGTACATCTGGATCTAATTCCATGATCAAATTTGGACCTATATCCAAGGATAAGCCAAATGTTAATAAGCAGGTTAATTTTAAGAAGAAAAGAACTAGGCAGGTCAGTACTGCTTGAAGATTTATGTTACAAGCGTGGAGTTACTTTAATTATTTTTTTCCGATCTACCCATCAAACATTTGAAAGATGCATTTGGAAAGGAGATAATATCATCTGAGAAAAAAAATTATAAACAATAATCGCAAAATGAAGAATCATATGAGATAAATTACAAAGAATAATATATGAGAAATGATATGGTGCAGCATTTGCATGGCTCAATTATATGAACAACAGTTTCCTGTATCCTATGCATAGACTGTGAAGTCAGACATCGGAACATCTGGTAGAATTTAAGAAGCAGTATCCTACCCCAGAAAACATCTTTTGTGGCTAATACTGTCAAGTTACCAATTTTCCCAAAAGCTTAAGCTATTAGGAAGTGGGCCCAACAATGTATATCAAGCTATCCAACACTCTCCCTCACGTGCAATCCTGTCTTGCCCGTGGAGAGACAAACAGATAACCAAAAGGAAGCAAACAACCAAATAGAGAAGAAGTAGCCAAACAGGAGCAAATACCAAATGCCAATGGAGAGACTTGAACCCAAAACCTTTCTCAACCTGAGCTTTGATACCATGTTAAGTCACAAATTTTCCCAAAAGATTAAGAATTTAGGAAGTAGGCCCAACAATGTATATCAAGCTATACAACAAATACATGCTTTGACAATAATGTAAATAGAACAGTCAATAAAAAAACATGTGAAATAAATAGCGTCTCCCAGTGTCGACAATGTACAAGTGGCAAGCCTGGTTATGCAATTTTATTATGTGTTTAGCACAGAGCAGGGGACCTGAAGTTCGCTTCAAAGCCAAGCCCGCGATAGCCCACGATATGTTCTTCAACTTCACCTTTTTGTTCTGATAGAGTAAATGAGATAGATTCAATCCAAAGGCCTTTGATATAAACATCACTTTATGTATACAGATTCTAACAGTTTCCAATCTACAACAAGAACAAAAATAAAATATGATAGACTAAAAAATCAGAAAAATGCAAACCTTATTGTTAGTTTCTACTATGTTGTCTTTATCTTCATCATCAGATGATGAATCAGTAGAAATTGCATCATAGAACTCATCAGCCATTTCTGCATCATCATATTCACTATCTGGCGAAGAAACATCAGAAAATTTCGAATGGACAATTGTGGTTGAAGATTGAGATGTGAGTTCTGGATTAGCTCCGATATATTCTTTTAAACCTGGATGATCACAACCCAAGAAAACATAGTTTCAGATGAAATTAACATTTTGGAAACAGTTTTTTCCCAGTGCAGCTCATAACATTTCTGGAAATTGACAAGAAATTGCCATAAACATGGTCCAATAGAAGATATACTTGATGCTTAAAATTACTTTCTACATTGCAAGTATTTGCTGACCATAACAGAATTGAGAACAATACTTGCAAAATGTGTTCTACATCATTATCCCAAGTGTTCCATGACTTCCCTAAGTTTTTTGCTTGATACCAAACATTTGAGAACAATTCTTCTGACTTGTCAAAGCATTTTATTTTTACTTTGCAGATTATGTTTTGTCAAAGGTGTGGAGGTTGTTGAAAACTCAACTAAACAAATCAGTTTGGTTTTAACGTAGTAGCTAATATCAACAATGCTATTGATAAGACTTTTGAGCTTGATTGTGATGCATCGGGTGTTGACATTGGTGTAGTTTTAAGCCAAGAAGGCAAGGCTATTGCTTTCTTTAGTGAGAAGTTGAATGGGGCTAAGCTTAAGTACTATACCTATGACTTGGAGTTCCATGCTTAGTGCCCAATCCATCAAACATTGTAGTTACTATTTAGCTTACAGGGAGTTTGTTCTTCATACAGATCATGAGGCTCTCAAGTACATATATAGCAAGTGTCATGCTAAGTGGGTGGCTTACTTGCAACAATTCACATATTCCTTGAAACATAAGTTAATGATCCATAACAGGGTAGCCGATGGGTTGAGTGGAAGAATGACCTTGTTAGTGGAGATGAAGGCTCAAGTGGTGGGGTTTGGTGAGTTTCGGCAGATCCTTACATTAGCAAGATTCTTCAACCTCTTCATAGAGGAGTTAGAGCTTCCTGTCCTAGTTACATGTTGAAGGATGAAATTCTACCCAATTTTTCTTTGAGAGCAATTGCTTGTGGAACTCAATAATTTGCGGCATTTTGGTGAGAGAAAGACTCTAGGGTTGCTCCACAGTGCCTATTCTTGGCCGAGAATGGCTAAGGATGTGGGCAAACTTGTGCGAAGGTGTCAAATTTGTCAAATGTTGCTAATCTCTCAAGCAAGTTTGCTTGCCTCCTCATTTGAACATCTCCAACACCTTCAATGTTTAACATTTGGTACCTTACGTGATAGATTATTTTATGTTTGTGTTGCTTGTGTTAGTGCTGTCCTAACTTGAGGACTAGTTCTTTTAAGGGTGGGAGCACTGATGTAAGTAGTTTATTGAGTTAGTGGTGTTAGTTGAGCAAGCTTTGTAGGTTTGTCTATAACTAGCTTTTGGATACTTTGAAGATTGTATTTTCAGAGCTTTGCTCTTGTATTCCCAACTGGGAAATTCTCTCTCCAGAAATTTCATTCTCTCTTGATCTTTGATGCTATCAAATAAAGCCTCTATGCTTAGGCATTTATAGACCTTTGCTCCAAGTAGAAATCTCTATGGGTTCAATGGAGTCATCAACATGTTATTAAAACCAAATGTTTTTGGACCATGAAAGAGCCTCTTGATTGTTCCTGGACCTGGAGAAAATTGCTAAAACTAAGAGAAGCTGCAAGACAATTTGTTAAACATGTCATTGGGGATGGTAATGATACGTTCTAATGGCTCGATGATTTGCACCCCTTTGGCCCTTTTATTAATATCTATGGTCCCCGGATTGTTTATGATTCAGGTACTTCTATCACTGCTAAACTCTCATCTATCATCAAGAAAGGAAGTTGGGAATGGCCACTTAGAAATGAAAGGTATCTTTCCTCTTCCTGGATCCTGAGGGATCTTTTCCTTGGTCTATTCCCTTCTTTTCCAATCCTTTGAGGGCTGACAAAATTGATTGGATCTTATCTCCAAACAGAAAATTCTCTTCTTCTGCTAACTTCGAATCTATCAGATCTCATCATCCCATTGCGTCATGGAATAAGATTGTTCAGTTCTCCAATTACATTCCCAGGTGTAGTTTTATTATTTGGTTAGCTATGAAAGGAAAACTTCACATCGAAGACAAACTAAAAGAGTGGGGTGTTACTGTTGAGTTACCAATTTTCCCAAAAGCCTAAGTGATTAGGAAATAGACCCAACAATGTATATCAAGCTCTTCTCCCGCACGGGCAACCTTGTCTTGCACATGGAGACACAAACAGAGAAGAAGAAATCAAACAGGGACTGAATACCAAATGACAATAGAGAGACTAACCCAAGACCTCTTTCAACTAAAGCTCCAATACTATGTTAAGTTACCAAATTTCCCAAAAGCCTAAGCTATTAGAAAATGGGCCCAACAATGTATATCAAGCTATTCAACAATTACTAGTGATGCTTTGTGTCATCTCTGTAATCAAGAAGATGAAAGTATACAACATATTTTCTTTGCTTGCCCATACTCTTGAGAACTCTGGAAGACTGTTTCTATGACGTGCTGCATTTTGAAGCCTCAAAATATTTGGCCAAATGAAATTAGCTGGATTACCGGTAAATTCAGTGGAAAAAGTATCAGCAATATCATCAGAAAATTAGCATTCTAGAAAAACATAAGAAATGTTGTTCGGGTCAAAGCTTCTTAGCTTCACTCTGTCCAAGCTAACTATCTCAATCTAACCATTTGCAATAGTTGGTCAATCCCACATTATGTCTTTGCCCATCACTAGTTTACAGACTTATTTCTTTGTATTCTTTTTTATTAAAGATCTTCTTCTAGTACTGGAGGATCACCCTCCGTGATATCGTTCATTTCTCGTTCTATAAAATCTTAATCATGTGTCATGTATTGCATTTTTTGAAATTTTTTGTGTTGTGTATGTGTTGTGTCCATGTTGGGTGGCGTGTCTATGTTCGTACTTCTTAGATAAGAACCACAGATGGTTGATTCCACCAATTTGGTACAAGCAATTAATTCTATCACACAGGTCATAGTTTTAGTTAAGGGTAAACTACCAATAGGTCCTAATAGTTGGACGTAATTCCTATCAAGTTCTATTGAAAATAAGTCCTAGTAAAATCGTCATTAAAAATAATTTTTTGTAATGATTTTTTGCATATGTCGCTAAAATTGACAATTAGTGACTTTTTTGTCACGATTTTTATAAATTGTCGCTAAAACTTACAATTAGTGAAGTTATTCTGTGATAAATTTTTCAAACCGTCGTTGGAAGTTGAAAATTAGTGACCTTTTTTTTGTGATGATTTTTTAAAATTGTCGTTAAAACTTATAATTAGTGACATTTTTTATAAAGAATTTTCAAACTGTTGCTGAAAATTAACAATTAGTGACGTTTTATAATAATGTTTGATGAAAAACGTCATTAATTATCATATGACCTATTAGACATTAAGTCCACTTATTAGGACCTACACGTAAGTCCCCTTTTAGTTAATTGAGGCCACCTATTTGGTACCTTCAGAACTGGTAGACCTTCAATCAGTTTATACAGAAGTTGGTGTAAGAAATAACAAGTACCCACCTGCCACTTGGCTCAACAATGCATAAGTAACTGTCTTTTCAAACTTTGAGCATTGATTAGTCTTCCACTTACACCACTCAACAGAGTGTACCTCTAGCATTTGTGTAACAACACATCTTGAACCATTTGAAGTAACTGATGAGTTCAAACTTCTGATCTCCCATGTTGAAGCTACGATAGAAATATCACACATGCCAATAACAAAAAACTATTTAACCAGACAATAAAATACATATGTTAGCTATGCATTCAAGTAATGAATTTGAATTTAAGAAGGCAGACAGTAGACAAAATAGAACATCAACTATCAACTTTTTATGGAGAGAAACAGAAATACCTAGTTTAAGTTTTGAATAAATCTTAAGAATTAGAAGAAGTCTGGGACAAAATTCGTCATGTCTTATTTTGGGCTTTTGTATAATCTCCTTTTAAAGCATCCCTTTTTTTTTGAATTCTAGAGATTAGTGAACTGCGTGTGATATGTAATTTTGATTTCTTCCATTTTTTTGGGTGGACTTCTTGCCTTCCATTGTGTCCGTTGCACCTTTACTTTTTAATAAAATTTAAAGTCCCTGCTTATCAAAAACTGTTAATGTACACCTAAACCTACTCCACTAAACCTAACCCACTACACCACTCCACCTCCACTTCACCTACTCCACTACACACTCCACTTCACCTACTCCACCACTCCACCTCCACTTCACATCTCCGCTAATTTCTGTTCAAAATTAGACAGAAAATGTCATAATAACTATCACATAAAAATAAAAAAATATATTATTATATTAGAGTTTAAGCTTGTGTTAGATATGTAAGTTATATATAATAAAATATTTTTATGCTATGTGACTATTAATGTTTTATTTTTTGTCTAATTTTGAACTTAAATTAACTTTAGGAGTAAACTGAGAAAAATTTTAAACATCAAGGGTCAAAGTGGGAAAAAATATACTTTAAGGGTCAAAGTGGGAAAGTGACCAAACATAAAGGGGGCAAAGTGTAATTTACCCAAACAAAATCATCATTTGTAGTTTTAACTAGCAACTATTCTGTTTCTTCACATCGCATCTCTGCCTCTGCCTGCGTCCTGAGAGATCAGATCGCTCAGGGATTCTGATATTGTCACCGTTAGTCAACATAGTCACTCTATACCAAATCTTCATCAAGCTTTCAAAATTTGCAACTATGGCGATTCGGTTCACCGTCACCTACTCCGGCTATGTTGCCCACAACCTCGCAGCCTCGGCTTCCAACAAAGCTGGAGGTTGCCGATTGTTTCACGAATGCTTCGTCTGCTCTCGTTTCTTCTATCACAACCAGAAGCCCGAAGTCGATCCCTTCGCCGCCGAGGGCTACGCACGCGCCTCCGGCCTCCCCGGCGTCTGCATCGCCACCTCCGGCCCCGGCGCCACCAAACTAGTCAGCGGCCTCACCGACGCAATGCTCGACAGCGTCCCCGTCGATTACAGTACTCTTTTTTCATTGATTCAATCTGAACCTGGTTTTCTCTCTCTAGCTTGGAACAAAGTCCCTCTTCTCACTGTTTCTTCATGACTTTGATTTGGGTTTTGATCGAAAATTTGTTTTTTTCTTTTTTGGGTTGCCGTCACCATCACGTGCCCAATGACAAACTGGCAAATCACAGGGGCTTTTTATCTCTCCCTCTCGGCAGACCTCTGCCCATGGGCACACACTCAACACACAACCCAGATACACACACACACGGGATTGCCCCCAAAGATACCCAGGTTAAATTGACATTAGGTAGTTGATTCCGAAGTCGGTGGAAGATAGACTATTGGGGAGTTTATTTGTTAACCAAAAAAGAAAAAAAACAAAAACCTCCTATGGCCTAGTGGTTCTGCGATACCATTTGTGAGTATAAGATTTTAGGTTCAAGTCCTATGAAAAGGATTCTAATAATATTTGTGGTGGTATTTATTTCTCTTCCATTGTGAGAATTGTAGTTTGTTAGGCTGACTTGGGCTTAATAGGTTTTGTTAACTTTCTAATTATTGTGGATTAGTAGTCTGTCGGATAATGTAATATTTGCCATATTTGCAATTACTCTTTTATCGATTGACCAAAAAAAGGAGTAATACTATTCAGGACAAAAAATTAGATACAATTTTCAAGTTCAATGATGTGACAATCAATTAGGATATTAAAGACAATACTCTCTCTCTCTCTCTTTCTCATATATTCTCTAATAATCAACTAATCACATCACTTACACATCATTGGATCTAAAAAATAGATCTAAAAAGTATACTTGTATATCATTTTTCAAAAAAAAAAAAAAAAACCCAAAAACAAAGAGTAATTGTGAACGATTAGTCATTTTTCGACTAGTAAAGCTTATTTCAAAAAGTCACTAATTTTAGTTAAAAAGTTAAAAAAAAATATTATAAAAATGTCAATTATTTTTTCTATTTTTTTACATATATTTTGCGTAAAAAATTTAGAAGATACTAAAAAAGTCAGCGTTGGAGCAGAGCCAGCTGGGAGTTTAATTGCTGCACCTCATTTGTCCTACTCTGCAGCCGGTTCGACAAGTTTGTCACCGCAGTCATGGTTTCCACACATGACTTCAATGTATACTGATTGGCCTCCACATCCGACTGCACCGCCATTTTTTGCTCCACCGACCGCATCGGAAAGTTCAACGGAGCAAAACCAGAGGCGCTTGGTTGAGGTTCACGGGCCACCGCACCAATTATCTCTCTTGTTGACTCGTTGAGGTCGGGAAAGAGAGTGAGCAGACCACGGGACAAAGAAGCCATATTCTGGGTAGCTGAACGGGAAGCCGAGGCCATGTTCTGGGCAACCGAGTGTTACAGAGTGTTACAGAGTTTCTCTCTAGGCAAACGCAGACTTTTTTTTTCAGAAGTTTTTCTTCGCAAGTTGTTTGTCTTCGCCTCAGCCTCAGCCTCAGCCTCCGTCTTATAGCCAAGGCAGACACGCGCATCATGCGCCGCTCGGCGCTCGACGACAAACTGGGCACGCCTTTTGATGGCACACCTTTTTATGGATTGGGCACGCCTTTTGATGGCACGCCTTTTGAAAGATTGGGCACACCTTTTGAGGGCACGACTTTTGAGGGCTCGATATCTATATCCACGTATATCTTTTAGGCAGTCTATATACACACTCATACAGTGTCTTCTACACCGGTCAGCTTTATCAATCCCTTTGTTTCAACCTCAAATAGGTTTCTATCTTCACACCTATTTGAGTTTGAGGGGGGGTTATACACAGTATCATGTATAAGTCGCTCATGGCGCACTCCCTAAGTCGCCCCCTTGGTGCACCACCACAATCTGCTACAACGGTCCGACATGACCCCATAAACTGTCTTCTACATCGGTCTAACACGACTACACAGTGTCTGCTACAACGGTCCGACATGACCCCGTAAACTGTCTTCTACATCGGTCCGACATGACCCCATAAACTGTCTTCTACATCGGTTTGACACGACCACATAGTGTCTGCTACAACGGTTCGACATGACCCCGTAAACTGTCTGCTACAACAGTCCGACATGACCCCATAAACTGTCTGCTACATCGGTCTGACACGACCATACCGTGTCTCCTATCCTGTTTTATTTTATTTATCAGTTTACTTTCCTGTTTTGTTACTCTCTTCAAACTCAAGTTGGTTAGTTCCTATCCTCCTTGAGTTTGAGGGGGGCTGTTAATGTACACCTAAACCTACTCCACTAAACCTAACCCACTACACCACTCCACCTCCACTTCACCTACTCCACTACACACTCCACTTCACCTACTCCACCACTCCACCTCCGCTTCACATCTCTATCTCCTATATAATGTACATACAATACATCAAAACTGATATCAATCAATAATAATACATACAATTTATTCTCTCTGTATTTCTCTCTTTATACATCAACTCTAATAAAAACAAAATGGGTAAATTACACTTTGCCCCTTTTATGTTTGAGCACTTTCTCACCATGGTCCTTAAATTTTTTTCCCACTTTGGCCCTTTATGTTTCAAGTTTTCCCCAATTTACTCCTAAAGCTAATTTCTGTTCAAAATTAGACAGAAAATGTCATAATAACTATCACATAAAAATAAAAAAATATATTATTATATTAGAGTTTAAGCTTATGTTAGATATGTAAGTTATATATAATAAAATATTTTTATGCTATGTGACTATTAATGTTTATTTTTTGTCTAATTTTGAACTTAAATTAACTTTAGGAGTAAACTGAGAAAAATTTTAAACATCAAGGGTCAAAGTGGGAAAAAATATACTTTAAGGGTCAAAGTGGGAAAGTGACCAAACATAAAGGGGGCAAAGTGTAATTTACCCAAACAAAATCATCATTTGTAGTTTTAACTAGCAACTATTCTGTTTCTTTTTCTATTCTTACAACCATGGTAAAGTAAAGGTAGTTTCATTCCCTCTGAAAAGATCAGTCAACTGATCCCCACCCACCAACAGCAAAATTCTGATTCTGCCATTGTACCAAACAATTTGAAAAGGTGAAAATAACGATATGCAAATTCTGAAATTAATATATATATGCACACCACTAGATGACTATCTCATTAATAGTTCAGCCCTCGAGAGTCTTTTTCCTACAGGACAAGAATATGAAATTATGTGGTGGTAAAGTTGTTAATAAAGACAACAAGTCAAAATGATTCCAGAAGACAAAAGAAGAAGTCTACAACAGAACTTGAAAAGATTAGAGTAATGAAAAAAAAAAGACATATACAAATTTATGCAGAAGATTTTCCGTTTAGTAAAAGCTTCTTACGATTAATTTTTGTACGTCGATATCCTGATTTTTCAGGACAACTCTTGTGTACAGTTGCAAACTGCAATATCGCTGCATCAATAATTGCATTACTATTGTCAGTCAACAAACACATGAAAAGCACACTAAATCTCTGGTGAGATAACAGGTAATTTCATTTGAATGCAAAAATTTTATATCATATCCAGAAATATACAACCAAAGAGATGTAACACCCTTGATGTTATTGCATGACATGTGCATGTTTTTATTCATACTACAATGCTTGAAGTTGAATTAGTTTCCTTTGCCACATGAAATGCTTTGATGAATCATTAAAACATAGTTTAGAAACATTATTCCATGAATAGGATACACTAATATGCATTGCTATGAAATGAATATAGTTTTGAATAGTGTTATCCGAAAATGCTACCCATCCCCTTAGTTATTTACGTTTTGAAACATACGTTTCAAAATGTGGTACACTTCCGTTCCAAAATGGTGAATCTAATGATCCAAAATGATCCCATATTATTTTTAAGGTTTTCATCATAGGTTCTCTTTAATAGAGAAAAAAATCAAATATAATAAACTAAAATCTGATAGAGTGGAGTTTTTGGCTTGACAAAATGTAAAACAATTGATTATAATGCTCATAGAATTGTGTTGTTAGACAATTCATTTGAAGAAAAATGCACTATAATGTATTGGATGTCAAATTAAGAAGTCTACTCCTATCGTACCACATTTTAGAGTATGTGGCATACCACATTCCCACTCCTCGTACCAAAACGATCTGCGTTCTAGGTAACATAGGTTTTGAATTGTTATATATGCTTCTTCGAAATGAAATGGGTTAGGATTTAGAGCTTCAAGATTGAGGAATTCTCTTTTGGGCATAATATGCTCACGTATACTTTCAATTCCTTAATCAAGGTCCTTGATTACTTTGGTCCAATATACTTGACAATTTCATAAGTTATGTCAAAACTTAATTGAGATTAGTAGTAATTAAGCAGTATTAGCGGAAAACACTGTTAGCATATTATATTATCATATTACTTTCTGAGTTATTGTGTAATAATTCTCTGCATCAGGGCTCCATTGTAATTTCCAAACTTTAATCTTCATTAATATAAATAGGGGATGATATCCTAATCAAACCCTAAGCTGGTTACTCTCTACAATTATCATGGTATCAGAGCAAAACTCTAATACCTAACCTTAGCTACCCATGCTGTGTCTATTACAAATCGACGCCACCAGCCACCACGGGAGAGGCCAGTCACCACTAGCCACCACCTGAGAGGCCAGTCACCACCTGAGGGGCTTTGGCTCACGCCGACAAAGACCCTTGTTGGTCGAAATGAGCATTAACTATCACTCTAGGGTTTGAAACTTACCTGGGTTGATCTTCTGCCTTAGTCGACTCCTCCGATGCCATCATCTCTTCTCGCAGCTTCCGTCTTCGCTTCTCGTCAGTCGATCGTCTTCGTCGATCTCCTCTGTCACCACAGTTTGTCCTCTTCGTCGATCTCCTCACTTCGTCGATCTTCTCGGTTAGTCGATATCCTCATCAGTTTGTCCTCTTCGTCGATCTCCTCATCAATTCGTCGATCTCCTTCATCAGTTCATCAGATTCGTCGACCTCCTTCACTGGTATAATCTCTGTTTGGTATAATCTATGTCGTGTATAAACATTAAAATAAAAATACTTACATGAATAAATAAATAAATACAAATATATATATATATATATATAAAATAATTGTTTAATTTTGTTATGCCTTTATAGTGGTCATTGTGCCTGTTCACCACCTTCCAGGTTTATGATTGCCACTAGTTTTGTTGCGGGTTCGATAATATAGTATCCATGGCAGATTCCACCAGTGTGTCCCCTACTTCTCAAACACCTAGGAGTGAGAGTCCCATTATACCTATTACCATGCCTGAGAACCCCAACCCTAGTCTGAAAATCACCACCTCTCTATTTATTGGTCAGAACTATCTAGCATGGTCTCAGAATTTGACTATATTTTTGAAGAGCAGAGGGAAGATGGGGTATGTTGATGGCAGGATACAGGCACCTAGTACCACTAACCCGGGTTATGACCAATAAGAGATTACCAACTCTTTGATTATGGGTTGGCTTATTCATTCGATAGTTCCAGAAATTAGTGAGGGCTACTTGTCTATGGAGACTGCCCAGGATGTTTGGGATGCTGTGGCTGCCACTTATTCTCGCAAAGGGAATTTTTCACAGGCATTTGAGTTGCGCCGCTCTATTGAGAGCTCACTTTAGGGGGAGCAGACTGCCTTTCAGTATTTCACCTTCCTCACCAACGGCTGGAAACGCCTTGACCACCTGCAAGACTATAAGCCTGTTTGCCCTGCTGATTCTGTTGGGTATAAGAAGTTCATCGCACAGGAACGGGTCTTTAAATTTGTGGCAGGCCTAAATGTGGAGTATGATCCAGTTCGGGGTCGAGTTCTGGGTATGGACACTCTTCCTTCACTTCAAGAGGCATTTGCCTATATACAGAATGAGGAGAGTCGCCGGTCTGCTATGATGTCCCCTGTCTCTACTGACCGCTCAGCATTACTGTCTACTCCGAGAGATGGCCTCAGCCTGACTCCCATCCCTCCGTCTGCTGCTAAGGAGCCTGTCTTCTGTGATTATTGTAAGAAGGCACGGCATACTCGTGAGACGTGTTGGAAGCTTCATAGGACTCCATCTGGGGGTCGAGGTGATTGGTTTGGTTCTAGAGGAGGTCGGTCAGGCCAGTCTAGAGGACGTGGTTCCTATTCTCGGGCTCATCAGTCTAGTGCCGTCGATACACTTGATTCTAATTCTGCTTCTGTTGGCCAAGCTTCTGATGCTAAGCTTGAGAATGCTCTGCGCCAATTGCTGGAGCACAGGTCTTCTACTGCTCTCAGTATAGCTTCCTCGTCTTTTGCCCGCTCAGGTAACTTAGCCTCTTCTCCTTGTGTTTTCCTGTGTCATAAGTCTTTGCCTTGGATTATTGATTCCAGTGCCTTAGATCATATGTCTGGCTCCTCTGATCTTTTCTCTGCCTATAAGCCCTCTTCAGGTCAGGACAAAGTTAGGATGCAGATGGTACTGTTTCTTCCATTTCTGGGAAAGGTTTAGTCCAAGTCACTCCTACCATACCTTTATCTTCTGTTCTCCATGTTCCCAATTTTTCTGTTAATCTGTTATCCTTGAGTCGTCTTACCCAGGATTTGAATTGTAGTGTGATGTTTTTTCCTGATCATTGCCTTTTTCAGGACCTTGTCACGAGGAGGACGATTGGCAGTGGTAGTGCAGAAAATGGTCTCTACTTCCTGGATCAACCGGACAAGCTTGCTTATTCTTCCACCACGTCTTCTACTACCCCCGTTGATTTATAGCTGTGGCATCGGCGTCTTGGGCATCCATTCTTTTATTTACTTAAGCATTTATTTCCATCTGGTTTTGCAAATCATCATGTGTCTGAATTTCTTTGTGAGTCTTGTCAACTTGGAAAACAACATAGAGCCTCTTTTGCTCCCAGTTTTAATAAAAGTTTAGATCCTTTTTCATTAATACAGTATGATGTTTGGGATTCCTCTCGTGTTATGTCTTTGAAAGGTCATCGATGGTTTGTTACATTTATTGATGATTTTTCTCGTACTATTTGGGTGTATCTCATGAAAGATAAGAGTGAGATTTTCTCTGTGTTTCGCAATTTTCATAAGATGATTTGTACTTAGTTTGGGGCCACTGTCAAACTATTTCGTTTTGATAATGGCGGGGAATACATAAATTCGGGGTTAGGACAATATTTTTCTACTCATGGCATTATCCATCGGAGTTCTTGCACCAATACCCCGCAACAAAATGGGGTGGCGGAACGCAAGAATCGGCATCTTCTTAACATGGCCCGGTGCATGTGTTTTTCTATGAATGTGCCTCGGCCCTATTGGGGCGACGCTGTTCTCATCGCTGCACATCTTATTAATCGTCTTCCTACCCAGGTCCTACAAAAACAAGCTCCTCTTCACGTCCTCCTAGGTTCCCAGTCCTTGTTTTATATTCCTCCCAAAATATTTGGTTGTGTCTGTTTTGTTCATAATCACTCTCCTTCTCGTGGTAAGTTGGACCCTCGCTCCCTCAAGTGTGTTTTCCTTGGTTACTCTCCTACTCAAAAGGGGTATAAGTGTTACCACCCTTCTTCTCGTAAGTGGTTTGTGTCCATGGATGTTACTTTCTTTGAGTCCCGGTCCTATTTCTTGTCCTCTCCGGTGTCACCATCCTCATTTCCGAGGGAGCCTTGGTGTGAAGTGAGTCTGGTGCTTCCTATGGTGGAACCAGTTGTTCTTGCCCCACTCTCTTCTACTGTGCTTCCTATGGTGGAACCAGTTGTTCTTGTACCACCCTTTTTTACTGATGTCACCAAGGATAAGGACGGGCATGTTTATGTCCGGGACATAGACCGACAACAAGTTAACTGGATACAAGGGACCACTTCTGCTCCTCCACTGCCATCTCTTGCTTCTGATGAGAGTCTAGGCAACTTTGAATCTCTTGAGTCCATTGATCTTGATGTTCTTATTGCCAAGAGAAAGGGTGTAAGATCTTGTACTCAACATCCTATCTCACATTTTGTGTCCTACTCTCATTTGTCATTCTCATATAGAGCGTTTGTGTCCAATATTTCCTCTGTTAGCATTCCTAACCATTTTCAGGATGCTCTTGCTACCTCTACGTGGAAACTAGCCATAATTGAGGAAATGAAAGCACTTAGGAAGAATGGCACTTGGGAATTGACTGAGTTACCTACGGGCAAGCGACATGTGGGATGTAAATGGGTGTATACTGTGAAACACAAAGCAGATGGGTCTATTGAGCGTTACAAGGCAAGACTTGCGGCAAAAGGGTTTACGCAGACATATGGCATTGATTATCAGGAGACCTTCGCACCCGTGGCTAAGATGAATTCAGTCAGAGTACTTCTCTCTCTAGCAGCTAATCTAGATTGGCCGCTTTATCAGTTTGATGTCAAGAATGCCTTTCTTCATGGTGACCTCGAAGAAGAGGTATATATGGACATTCCTCCTAGTTTTGAGGATCATCAGACAGAAGGCAAAGTATGTAAGCTTCGGAAGTCATTATATGGTCTCAAACAGTCTCCAAGGGCTTGGTTTGAGAGATTCACTCAGGCTATGCTTAAATATGGCTTCAAACAGAGTCAGACAGATCACACCTTGTTTGTGAAACATTCCTCACGTGGTAAGACTACAGCACTGATTGTTTATGTAGATGACATAGTTCTTATGGGCAATGAAATTGGGAAAATACCTCTGTTGAAGAAATATTTAGCTAGTGAGTTTGAAATCAAAGACTTGGGAAGCTTAAAGTATTTTCTGAGAATTGAAGTTGCTCGCTCCAAGGATGGGATTTTTATCTCACAGAGAAAATATGTGCTTGACTTGTTAAAGGAAACTGGGATGCTTGGCTGCAAGGCATGTGACACCCCACTGGAACCCAATCAGAAATTGGGGGATGATGCAGGAGGAGAAGCTGTTGATAGGGGGAGCTATCAGCGATTAGTGAGTAAGCTCATTTACCTATCTCAGTCCTGTCCTGATATTGTTGTTGCTGTCAGTGTGGTTAGTCAGTTTATGCATGCTCCTCATCAGATTCACTTCAAGGCTGTCATGAGAATCTTGAGGTACTTGAAGTCTGCTTCTGGTAAAGGTCTTTATTTTTCAAAGTATGATCATCTTCGTGTGGAAGCCTATATAGATGCTGACTGGGCTGGATCCATAACTGATAGGAGATCGACTTCAGGGTATTACCTTAGTTGCACGAAGCGGGAGCGGGAGTGGGAGCGGGGGGAACGTGGCCACTTAGAGGAGTCGTAAATTAGGAGCGCTGATATATTATTTTTATTAATTATATTTTATTTATTATAATAAATAATGAATAATAAATTATGTTCAAATAAATAAAAATTAAAAATTAGATCTTTTATTTTATAAATTTTTTAACTTTTTTTTTATTATATATGATTTAAATAGATTTCTTTTAAATAATTAGATGATTTATTTTATTTATTATATGTTAAAAAGTTAGGAATAATAAATTTTAATAAATAATTTTTTATTTTAGACAGAAGAATTATATTATCTATGACAAATTATATTATATATGATAAATATTATATATATTAAATATAATATATTATATTATATTATATATATATGATAAATTATATTTATATTATATAATATAAAACGGAGAGGGAGAGGGAGGGAGAACAGAGATCGAGAGAGAGAGAGAGATGGAGAACAGAGACGAGAGAGGGAGACGAACAACGAGACGAAGCAAACAGAGACGAGAGAGGGAGACGAAGAGAGAGACGAAGCAAACAGAGGCGAAGAGAGACGAAGAGGATATCGAGACTGAGAGAAGAGAGAGCGACAAAGACAGTCGAGATCGACCGTGAGAGGTCTCAGCCCTAATCGCGATTCTTTCGCATTAGAAGCGCGATTCTCTCGTATTAGAAGCGCGATTCTTGTGCGATTCTTCCTTGGAAGCGCAAAATCGCGCTTCTTCCTCAAAAGCGTGAGTCCCTTCCACGATTCTTGCTACTAAGGTTTGAATTGAGTGATGTGACATATAATATTGAAAAGTTTATGTTTTGAAAAGTGAGTGTGGAATTAATTTTCTAAAGCTATAACCAAACAATACACTCAAACTAAAGGATTGAATTAAATTTCAAAAACTCTACCAAACAGAGCCTCCAATTTCCATCCTCATCCACTTCATTGCATCACTAGAGTCAATTGGCAACTTTCTCTAACTTAACCCAAAAATGTCAGCTTGCCTCATAAAGCATGCCATAGCCATATTTGGGCGATTCTTACACGTTTCTTACTAGGAATCGCGGAATCGCGATTCTCACTGAGAATCGCCACCTAGTTGCGCGATTCCTGCAACTAAGGGTATTGCACCTTTGTTGGAGGTAACCTAGTTACTTGGAGGAATAAGAAACAGAATGTGGTTGCCAGGTCAAGTGCAGAAACTGAGTTTAGAGCTATGGCACAAGGGGTGTGTGAGCTTTTATGGATCAAGTTATTGTTGAGTGATCTAGGTATTGATCAGACGAACTCCATGCGGTTATACTGTCATAATAAGGCCGCTATCAACATCGCTCACAATCCGGTTCAACATGACAGGACAAAACATGTTGAGATTGATCGCCACTTCATTAAGGAGAAACTCATCAGTGGTACCATTTGTACTCCTTTTGTCCAGTCTGGTGAACAACTTGCTGACATTCTCACCAAGGGGGTTGAGAATAAGCCATTTCATGACATATTAGGCAAGCTGGGCATGCGAGATATCTTCACACCAGCTTGAGGGGGAGTGTTAGCATATTATATTATCATATTACTTTTTGAGTTATTGTGTAATTATTCTCTGCCTCAGGGCTCCATTATAATTTCCAAACTTTAATCTTTATTAATATAAATAGGGGATGATATTCTAATCAAACCCTAAGCTGGTTACTCTCTACAATCATCAAACACAACTCTGCAGATAAACTTTGAAGCCAAAGTCCCAACAACACTGATCTCCCACCATGTTTAAGAAACAGCTTCACAGTGAACATATAGATAAAAGGTAGCACTAGTTTACCCCACTGAAAGTAACCATATTATCCACCACACAAGATGGGACAAGGTCTTAATCTCTCCTGATACACCATTATATCAAACATTACCTCAGATAGACACCTTCATCTTTTCCCGACTCAAAGCCAACATGATGAGAGAGGAAAGAGTATTTCCTAGACACAACCTTCTAAAGGATCAGAAAGGGTCAAAGAATGAGCGAGAAACCAACATTAAAAATCAGAATATGGAGATAACCGAGAAACCCCTCTGCTGTCTATACACCAAGCCTATTTTGCCAATCAAATAATTAAACTTTGTTCACATGATCATGAGAACTTCTGGAGGTAATTGCCATGTAGTAAACCATCAAGCCAAGAAACAACTAAATCAAAGCATGACTATTGTTAAATTCAACCATTGTGATACCTGAGTTGACAGACAATGACAGACAATGACAATAGTGTAACAGAGCAACGCAACTTGGCATTAAAGTGAACATTGATAAATGCAATGCTCAAATGGAATTTTTTATTCGTCATTGCTAAAACAGTGAAGGGAGAGAATACAACACAAAATGCACGCCACTATATGTGTCACAGGTTATTAAAACATGATAGGAAAAGTGAACTTTCTATGCATCAGATAATTGTAAATATACACGCACATAGAATAACAAGAATTCTGAAAGGATGGGCTAAATAGAATTCTCTTACTATATGTTCCATCTTGTCCAAAAAACCATTGCCTGGAGAAGACAAAATCTCTCTTAGAATGCCATCTGTAGACATATCAAGTAACCAATCATGAGAAAGTAACCAAAAAAATAAAAAAAGGAGATAAAAATTTAAAACTTTTGTGTATATGAGAACTTGATTATCAACAGGGAGTGATGGAGGTAGTGAAAAGGAAAAGGGTTTGGCAATACCTGAGGCTGTTTATTCTTGTTTGTCATTTTCTCTCTCTCTCTCTCTCTCTCTATTGTGTAAGGGTGGTGCCCGCTTAGCACTTTCTTAATACAATTTCTTATCTTTACTTATCAAAAAAATTCCATAACAGTCAAAACCAAATTCCATAACTCACCAACCATCAGACTATATACAATAAGATGGTAAACACTTTCCCTTCTAAACATGCAACTCCAATATATAAACACTTTTCTCCTTTCCCTCAGCGGGAGTGTTTTGTTGTTACAAAACAGAAGAGTTGTAGAGGAGGACGAGATGGGGCTGTTTATCGTTTCTTGTTTATTGAGGTGCATGGAGGGAGGATTTCATTGGTGTTTACAAAGGTGTACTGCTTAGTGGAAGATAGGGTTAGAGGAGAGAAGGAGCTAGCAACAATTACCTCTAGTAGAAATGCTTCATGGCTTTAGGGGGGAACTTTCATATTATTGGCTTTCGGTATGAAAGGTTGAGGTGTCACACTTCAGCTTGAGCCATGCAAGACTTCACCTTTATTGATGAGCTTGGGATTATAGATTTTCCCTAAACTTCAGGGACTTGCACGAGGTCCAATAATCAAAATCCTCCTCCTGTCTAGAATTGACCATTTTGGTATCCATGAAATGGGAAGCGCACTTCTGTAATGTCACCTAAACTCTTTTACCAAGACCGGAGTAGCCACCCATATTGCTTGAGAGTAGGGAAATTAACCATGGTTGAGCTCATCTTTGAGAACATGTGGTTGCAAGTGAAGGATTTTTCTAGGAACGTGTCAAAATGGTAGAGTGGATATAGAGCAATGGGTAACCCGGGCTTAGTTCTTGCGAAGAAACTAAAACTTTTCAAAGAAAAAAAATAATGAGGAATTTGGCAGGCAATAAGTACCATAGGCAAGGTGTTAGATAAGATTCAATGTTTGGATGGAAAAGAGGCTAGTTGTGAAGGATGGCAAGCAGCTAAAGAGAAGAAGACAGAGTTTGGTAGAATTGTGAATATGGAAGACCTTGTTTGAGACAAAACAAAAAACAAAAAACAAAAAACTACATCCTTATAAAGCTAAAGAGAGCAGTAAAATTACTCGCTTCACTCATAATAAGGCTAATGCTCACCAGAGGAACAATCTTATAGGTGCATATTTTGGAGGGAGGAGGTGAAGGGAATGCTGACTTTCTTTCATGAGCATGCCTCTTTTGAAAATATTCTAAATGTGACCTTTATTGCTTTGATCCCTGAGAAAGGGGGTGAGGAGAAAATGAGGGACTTTAGACCTTTTAGTTTATTTGGAGGTGCATTCGTGGAGGTTGGACAAATTTTAAATCAAGTTCTTTTGGCCATCGAATGTGTTAATTCTAGGTTGAGGAGTGGTGAGGTGGGCTTATTTGTAAAATGGATATTGAGAAGGCCTACAAACATATGCACCAGAATTCTTTTATTGTATTTGGTGGGTAGGATGGATTTTGGAAACTAATGGAGGCAATGAATTCAATTTTGCATCTCTACGGCTCAAATTTCCATTTTGGTGAATGGTTCGTTTGTTTGACTTTATCAAACTTTGAGGGCATGTTTGATTAGTAGGATTATAACATAGGATTGGGAATGTTAGACCATGGACTCATAATCCCATGTTTGATTGCAAATTTTATTAACTGGATTACATGTACAGCGGACATTCAATCACACGAAATTGGTGAATTTTTAATATTGAGAGGGGTTGAGGATCATAATTTCAACTATGAACGGAAAAAAAAAAAAAAAAAAAAAAAAAAAAAAAAAAAAAAAAAAAAAAAAAAAAAAAAAAAAAAATATAAATGGTTATCTCACTAACTTAATTGGATAATTAATCTTATCAATCAAACAAGCCCTGAGGCTCCCTTCTAGTTACTTATCTCGACTTACCTTTGATATCTTCTAAGGCCGTGAAGGATATGGTTTTGGAGCAGTTCCACAAGAGATTAACATGATGAAGGAAGCAATATATGTCTAAGGGTGGTTTGCATACTCTTATTAAGAGCATGTTATTTCATGTCTTTGTACACTATCCTAGTCTTTGTGCTAAAAGGTTAGAAAATATGAGCTGCACTTTCTATGTGATGACGTAAGAAAGTATTTTAAAGTACCATATTGTTGATTGTGATATGGTTTGTACCCCAGCAAGGGAAGGAGGTTTGTATGTTAGTGTGAAGTGAAGTCCCACATCGCCTGAGTACTAAAGTAATATTAAGCATATAAGCGTGAGGATACCCTCACCTTAAAAGCTAGCTTTTGGGGTGAGTTCTACCCAAGACCATGTAACATGGTATCAGAGCTGGAGTACTTAGGGATGGGTAGGGTGCGTGTCCCTAGCTTGCACGCAGTAGGTGCTATCGAGTGAGCACGCTAGGTGTGGGGGACGGTGTGAAGCGAAGTCCCATATCGCTTGAATACTAAAGTAATATTAAGCATATAAGCGTGAGAACATCCTTACCTTAATAGCTAGCTTTTAAGGTGAGTTCTTCCCAAGACCGTGTAACAATTATGGGGTCTGTCAAAAATATCCAGGCTGGATTTGTGTGTGAGCTGGTCAAGCTGTGAACATTTGAATTTGTATTTAGATTAGTCATATCCTTGATTTATAGGGATTGTATTCTAGGAATCTCATTCCTGATTTGTAGGGATTAGCTAGCTAGACCATGTAACATGGTATCAGAGCCGAAGTACTTAGGGATGGGTAGGGTGCGTGTCCCTAGCTTGCACGCAGTAGGTGCTATCGAGTGAGCACGCTAGGTGTGGGGGACGGTGTGAAGCGAAGTCCCATATCGCTTGAATACTAAAGTAATATTAAGCATATAAGCGTGAGAACATCCTTACCTTAATAGCTAGCTTTTAAGGTGAGTTCTTCCCAAGACCGTGTAACAATTATGGGGTCTGTCAAAAATATCCAGGCTGGATTTGTGTGTGAGCTGGTCAAGCTGTGAACATTTGAATTTGTATTTAGATTAGTCATATCCTTGATTTATAGGGATTGTATTCTAGGAATCTCATTCCTGATTTGTAGGGATTAGCTAGCTATAATCTACCTATATAGTCTTTTCCCTGTACATTTCTAATAGATCAATAATATTCCCATTATTTATCAAGATCCTCTATTTAGAGTACAATATCAACGTTATTCAAGCAGATGATGCACTATCTTGTAAGACATCAATCAATAAATAAATAATAATACATCAATTTATTTTTTACAGAATCTCATTCCTGATTTGTAGGGATTAGCTAGCTATAATCTGTATATATAGTCTTTCCCTGTACATTTCTAATACATTAATAATATTCCTATTGTTTATCATGGTATCAGAGCCTCTTACGCTCTCTGGTAACTAAAACTTCTTGTGGCCTGCATTGCCATACTTCATTGTTCCTTCAACCTTTCGTTATTCGGCCTTCATTGCCAATTGAACCTCTTTGCCCAAAAATTCTTCTTTTTCATTCCATTTTTTTCCCTTCAATATCATCATGTCCGAAGTAACTAGAACTTTGAATCCATCTGAAATTGGGACAATGGAGACTCCTAGCATGGTTTCAACAGGAGACTTGTAGAATATTCAACCAAGTTACTGGTTGAAAGGAAAAACTACCTTAAGTGGTCTCAACTTGTTCAAACCTCACTTAAAGGAAAGGGCAAATTGAGTCATCTTCTCGGAACATGACCAAAACCCGGAGATTCGAAGTTTGATGCCTGGGATGAAGCTGATTCCATGGTAATGTTGTGGCTATGGAACTCAATGATACCTGAAGTGAGTGATACGTGCATGTTTTTGGAAACAACAAAGGACATCTGGGACATATGTAAACAGAATTATTCGAAGGTTCGTAATGCTACTCAAGTCTATGATATCAAGACCAAAATTTCAACCACTAAATAGGGTAACTGTTCTATTACTGAATACTCTAATATCTTGCAAAACTTATGGCAAGAGTGGGATCATTATCAATGTATTGAGATGAATTGCAGTGAAGACTTACCATTCTTAAGAGGTTTATGGAGAAGGAAAGAATTTACATTTTCCTTGCTGGATTGAATTCTAAGTTTGATGCTGTCATAATTCAAGCTCTTGGAAAAGAAGACTTTCCATCATTGAATGAGACTATTGGAATAATCCGAGTAAAAGAAAGTCGCAGAGGAGTTATGTTGGAGCCTCAATCTGTGGAAGGTTCGGCCATGGTTGTTAGGGGTGCTAATGCAAGGAATAGGGGAGCAAATCATCCACGAGCTCTTACTCTGATGAATTGACAATTGAAAATGGAAACAAGGATTCAATTGTGTGTACTTTCTACAAAAAGCCAAGACACACCAAAGAAAAATGCTGGAAACTTCATGGCAGGCCTGCAAATTTTCAAAATCCTTAAACAACCAACAGAAATTGGACAGTAAAGAGTGGACCAACCGATGTGTGGGGTCCTTCCCCTGTTGTTTCTACCTCTGGTTATCGTTGGTTTGTCACATTTATTGATTGTTATTCCCGTGTGACTTGGTTTTATTTACTTCGTACAAAAAATGAGGTTTTCTCATGCTTCAAAAGTTTTCATAAAATGGTATCCAATCTCTTCAATGCTACTATCAAAATTCTTAGGAGTGATAATGGGACTGAGTATGTTGATGGTGCTTTCCGGGCATACTTCGACGAGGATGGCATTCTTTATCAGACTAGTTGTGTTGGCACTCCTGAACAGAATGGAGTTGCTGAACGTAAGAATGGCTATCTCCTTGAGGTTGCTCGCTCTCTCTTGTTTACCATGAGCGTTCCTAAGTCTTTTTGGGGGGATGCGGTTCTTACCGCGGCTTACCTTATTAACCGTA